AAAAAAAAAAAGACTCATACCAACCCCAGGAACAAAAGTTCTAAATCCTGTTCTATCCTACACTGTCTTTACTCTTCCTGACATGCAAGAGCCCACTGCAGAAGTCATCATGTCACACCACCTGGTTGAGGGACTTTCTCTCCTTCACCAACCCTCCATCCTTCCTAGCATCATGTGTCTCTCCAAGGAGTAGCACCTCCTACCCACATGCCCAATGTATGTAAGGCAATGCCTCATCAATCTTGCCCCCAAAGAGCAATTCAGTTGCACCCTCTCCAAGACATAACCTGTTTACTCTCTTGGCTGTTCATGGGATATTCAGTGCTCTTCTCCAACACCACAGCTCAAAGGCATCAGTTCTTTTCCTGTCATCCTTATTCATTGTCCAGCTCTCGGATGCATAGCAAGTAATAGGAAAGACTATGGCCTGAATCAGTCACACCTTAGTCCTCAAACTGACATCATTACTCCTCAATAAGTTGGAGAGGTCCCTAACTACAGATTTTCCCAGTGCAATGTGTCTCCTTATTTCCTGACTTCTGGTACCAAGAATGTAAACTGTGGATCCAAGAAAGATGAAGCTGTTGACAGTTTCAATCTCCTCTCCATCTATCATGATGCTGCCTATTGGTCCAGTGGTAAGAATCTTTGGAATACCAGAAGAATGTCTATTTGTGCTTTATTGATTATGCAAAGGCGATTGACTCTGTGGATCATAACAGGTTATGGCTGACATTGAGAAGAATGGGTGTTTCAGAGCACTTAGTTGTGCTTATTCAGAACCTATACCTGGGCCAGGAGGCTGTTGTGAGAACAGAGCAGGGGAACACTAGATGGCTTAAAATTGAGAAGGGAGTGTGCAAGAGTTATGTTCTCTCTTCACACCTGTTCAATCTGTATGCTGATCAAATTATCCAAGGAGTGTGGCATCAGGATTGGAGGAGACTCATCAATAACCTGACAGTGTGGAGGACTTGAAGCACTTGCAGAAGATTAAGGAATGCACCCTTCAATATGGATTGCATCTCCAAGTCAAGAAAACAAGATTCTTACCACTGGGGTCCCTACGAATGAATAACTAGACAATACCCCACACAAGTATGAAAGCAGGGAAACCAGCTGGGTAGCTGTCACAAGAATCTAAGCAAGAAATGAATACAACAGCTACAAATGCAGATTAATATATAGTATCATATTTCATAGAATCCGAGATGTCATGGATTGTAGGATGTATTCTGATTGCAGGGATGCTAAAATATGCAGTGTGAATTACATTATGCAGTGTGAATTGTGATATTCAGTGCTGAACTTGTTGACTCAAATAGCACTAGTGGTACTGAGTGGTGAAGACATCTTTCTGAAATAGTGAACAACTCCCATTAAGTTCCAAATGAAAGAAAACTCTACCTAGCGTTTATTCACATTCAAAATTCAGTCTAATAAGGACAAATACTGCATAAGACCATTATTGTAAAATTAGAAGGATAAGATGTGCATAAATGCCCAAAGAGTGAAGAGAGTAAGGGGACCTGGGAGGAGGGAAGTTAAAGTGTTGCCGAGTTTGATGGATAAAAGGAGGGGGAGAAGGAATTAGAACAGATCCAGTGGGGATCTGAAAAGACAGGGTAATAGTGGGCATAGATCAATGGTGATTAATTGTATAAGACACAATGTATGGGAATGATTGTATGAAAAAATGTGAATGAAGGAATGTGTGGAATATAATGTATACGAATGGAAAAAACTTTTAATAAAAAATTCCATTTATAGTAAAGCTATGTCTATGTGTGTTTCATTGATTATGCAAAGGCGTTTGACTGTGCGGATCATAACAAACTGTAGCTGACTCTGAGAAGAATGGGAATCCCAGAACATTTAATTGTGCTAATGTGAAACCTATACTTGGGCCATGAGGCAGGCAGTCATCAGAACAGAGCAGGGCCAAACTGCATGGTTCAAAGTTGGGAAGGGTGTACACCAGGGATGTGTCCTATCTCCATGCCTTTTCAACCTGTATGCAGAGCAAAATATCCGAGAGGCTGGGCTCTATGAGGAGAA